GCATCGAGAAATATACTCTGTTACAAGTATCAAATATTACGTCAAACGGCAACATGCATTTGGGTTGTCGCCACGTGGGTTCCCAGTAAATTTCTGCTCACTATAAGAAATCTTCTAGGCAGCGTCTTTGTGTCAGTATCACCGGCTGGCAACTTGTCATGGTGTTGCAGTGTTACAGACTTGATCTGGACAGATTCAGCCGTTTTGCGGGCGCTAGTTGCAATGAGGAACTACTACGTAAAATGCGCCTCGTATGAGTTGGGGATTTTCTTTTAAATGATAATCAGATTACCCTAGTGGCTTACTCCCGATTTATGATTGAAAGCTCAAATTTCTCAAAGGGTCAAGCTAGTTAAATGGTGTATAGGGTTCACCGTGGGGTACATTACCAGTACCTTCGTCCCGGCAAGGTTTTTACTAGTACTTCAGCGTAATTTCGCATAGATATGGCTAATGTTAGGACGATGAAGATAGAAAGAGGTTGAATCATTAGTTCGGCTGTACCATCAAACTAAAAGTTTGACGGCCGCAATCAATCTTTCCCTCGCATCGGCGTCCGTACCCACGATGGCAAACAAAAGCGTGGTTTTCATCTTGGGGGGTCGTAACTTCTATCACTCAGATTTCAAATGAGGATAATACAGGGTATTACGGGACATTTGATGGCTAAAATTGCAGAGACGTTGCCCATAAATGACAGTTAAACATTAAAATTTTGCGCAATCCGGTGCGTTTTGACATAAAACGAAGATTACGATGACAATGAGCGCTATGGAAGAATAAAATACACTATGTCACATTTACAATTGCCCGACACAGCACAATAGCGTGGCGATGACGCATAAACTTCACGGCTTGAAGATGGAAGGTAGTTTTAGCGTGTTGGAACATCTCGACACTTTTGACGAGCAAGATGTGGGTCTCCGGACGATGATAAAGTCAGCTATCGAGTTGTGGTACTCTCAGCAGTCGGACATCAAAAAGTGATAAAAATCAGCGATTGTGGGAAATGCGAAGGGCGCAACAGCGACTGAAATGAAGAAGAAGCCGCTCAAAAATCGAGAAACGGCGCAGGAGGAGGTTACGGATAGAGCGCTACGCGTAAACAAAAGTGTGGGAAGCTTAAAGGCGGACGATTTGACGTTCAAAAAAGGTGGCTATCACCAAATAACAGCAAATTTATTCGGAAATTTTAAACTGTGACCAGATTAGTCATCCGAAGCGAAAATGACCAGCCGGAAGACGTGTCAGCAATGTTGACGTTGTATTAGCGGTGAGCGAAGAACAATCGGCAGGGGTTTTTTATCGACAGTAGCACCACATCCCGTATTTCCCAGCATAAATATGACTTGTTCGAATACAAGGACCTTATTATTTGCATTAAAGTATCAATTGCAGATGGCAAAAATGTACAAGTCAAAGAAAAAGGCACCATGAATATGACCGGGTTGGGTGGAAAGAGAAATCGCATGATTGAAGATTTATAAATTCCAGGACTGGACAGAAGATTCTTTGTGGGTGGCAAGCTTGCGGAACGCGGTATAAGTG